TAAAAGTATATTTACATATATGCACGGACGATTTTTAATATTTTTCATCAGTAAGCAAATCTTTAGTACCATAAAAGATTCAAACACATCAAAGTACAAGCAATGCAATGTCCAAGCTAGTGCTACTCCACTGTACATTTGTATATGAATGTATGCATGAATGCGTGTAAAAAATGTCAATTCCAGTTGGTTTTTAACCCATTTTAGCGGACATAGTTTTTTTGGTTTCAGCTGGTTCCAACTGTTAATGAAGCACAATTTTTATGGTTAATCTTGATGAAAGTTACATGTATCTTCGAGAACATGGTTACATGCAGAATTTTAAATTAATTAATATTATTCTCCATATAAAATGTACGAGTATGGCTTTATTAAATGTAAACTTATGCGAAAACCTAAATATTTCGGCAACCAGGGGTTAATTTTGATGGCGTCGTGGCAATTCGCAGAAATTTAATAATTTGCTGTGATGGATTTGGGACGGCGAGGGGAAGACGAAAGAGATCAATCGTACATATGGATGCAGATATTTACATTTATACATGCATACATATTTATGCATCTGTCTTTTTGAATATATGAAAGAATTTCATCATATGTAGTGATTTAGAGATTGTGATTCAAATGATATGTTGTGGCGCGCTATGCTAGATGGCGATGTAGACTTTTTGGCGTCTCGCCGTTTGTCTTGGTTCGAAATCCCGAACGGACCAAGTAATAAATTATTATTTTTTTTTTTTAATTGTCATATCCATATTCATTTTAAATTTTATTATTGCTTTATTTAAAATAATATAAATGGATATGTAGGTACAAACGCATGCATAATTTCACATAATCGCTCAAATTTGCCAAAAGTTACTGAAAGCTTTATTGTAAATGTTTTCACTAAAATATTAGTTATTGGAATTAAAATTTTATGCGAATCCAATTTTTATTCCCATTTTTAGAAAGCGCAAGTATGTATATGTTCGTGCCACAAAAATTATTTCATAAGTAGTTAATTTTAAACACAAATATGTATGTACACTGGCAAAGTGAGTGCATCCTGTTTTTTGTTTAATATTTGCAATGTTTTTAAGTTAAACTTTTATGTTATTTTCGACGGGAATTGCGGTTTTATGCATATAGCAAGTGCAATTTGTAAAAAATAGCGCAAATTTTTTTTTATTTGTTTGCAAACGGTCATGCGCATTTTATTCTACAAGAAATTCACTTTTATTTGGTAAAAAGTGGAAAAAGCCGTCAGCAATAAATAATCATTAAAAATCAACCGGATTTTTTAGCCGCTTAAAACTTGATCTTGTTCCACTAGAATTAAAAAACCGATCTATCTGCGTACTCAAAATTTTTCTAAAAACTCAGATTAAACAGGTCAAAATTTAGACGAGAATTCGTTGAATTTTTCTATGTTCTGTGTAAAGTTTGAAAGTTTGACTTATGTAGTTTTAATTAAAGCATGAACCACATTTTTATAAAAAGATAATAAAACAAATTTAATTGAAAATCATTGCAAATATTAAGTAAAAAAACACCATGCACTCACTTTTGATTGCCAGTCTATGTATGCATGTACATATGTGTGTAAACTTTATGCCAAACTATCATTATTTTAAATTGTATTTGCATCTTCATAAAAGGAGAACAAGATAAAAAATTTAACAAAAACTACAAACTAATGAAAATTATGTGAAGATTTACCATATTTTCGTTTATGTGCTCGCAAAGAACATCACATTTCATGTTGCTCAAGATTGTATTATGTTATCAACATTAAATTCAACAGAATTTCTACATTCCGACTTGAACTTTTCTAACGCTGTTAATTTTTCGTCCGCGAATAGTTTCCACTTTCAGTTTGCACCTTCTCTATCTATCTAAGTTCTCTGGTTTCGGTGCCTAGTGGAAGAGGTCGCAAAAAAGAAGAAAACCAATCTTCCTAGAGGAGAAGTACTGTTTCAAAACTGGCAATATTAAATTTTTAAATATAAAATTTGCAAATCTACCATGCTGAAATTTTATTTTTTTAATGGTATTAGGCTCTTATTTATCCAAATTTTCAGGTAATAAAAAAAGATACGGATGTTACTTGTTGTCGTAGACGTTTTTTTTAATTCATGGTTTACTTTTATAAAATCACATAACGCTGTTTGCAAGTGGACTACTCATATATTCATTAAAAGATAATTTGTCATCCGTTTGAAATAAAAAAAAATTTAAATCAGAAGGATAAAATAGTATTGTGTTATTAATTCAAAAGTAAATAATTGTAGTTCAATGACGAGGGGGGGGGGATCTATCCCCCCATATCCCCCCTGGCTACGCCACTGTATGTATATATATTTTTAATAATTCTTGCTAAATTAACGCAATGAAAGTCAATTACGTAATTGCGAATGCCACGTATATATAAAAGGGTGTTTGCACTTTGATATGTGCTACTGATAAAATCTCTGGAGAATTGTTTTATTTTATTGTATTTTTTGTGGGACTATTGAGGGATATAAGTGGACCGTTTCACTGTACCCGCACTACACTGTATAACTATGTATATATATATATTTCACAATAGCCTTCTTTCTTCAAGAATTATTGGAGGCAGCGTTGCCACTTGAGAATATTTTAAGGTACCAAAAAGCCTACCAAATCAGTTTGCAAACTACCAAAAGATTGTTTATCAATAAAACGAGATTTTATTAAATTTACAGGTTTTGCAGATTAACAGTAGGTATAAATTAAAATACCAAATAATATGGTTTACTGTGCTACAGTTGGTTATCCATTCATGCAATACTTGAGTTTACACAAAATAAATTCGGGCGTTTAAATAAATTAATTAACGTATCGTATAAAAAACAGTTATAAGCATTGTATATAGTTTTGATATTAAATCAATTCATATCAAACATTTTGATGTATAAAACAACAAATTCAGACATTTTATGCGTTTAAATAAAATTTAGGTTGTTCACACTTGCTTGGTTATCAGGTTATCTGGTTATGTGGTTATATTTTTTATTCAGTTTACAACAATAAAATACACTGCAGAATAATAATATTTAACCAGATAACCTGATAACCAAGCAAGTGTGAACAACCTAAGTATCAAAAATATTGTACACAAAACGTTTGTAAAAAAACGTACCGAGTATATATATCTTTGAGATCAATTCAATTCATTTCAAACGTTTTTTTTTTTCTTCGACAATACAATTTCAAGCATTTTATTCGTTTAAAACCAAAAAGTTTTTATAACCCCTAATTGTATACAAAAAGTTTGTGAAAAAATCATACATCTTTGAGATCTCTTTTTGCTGACCACACGTAATGTGCATCAGCCTTTTGTACTAGTTCTTTACAGTGCATAATACTATTTATTGTACTGATGTTTAGTTTATTTCTGAGTTTGGTTTTTGGGCGCAGGCGAGTTTTCATCACCACGAGAATTTTCAGTATTTGTTAATTGACACATATGTACATGCCTACTTAGTCGCAATTTTTTACCTGAACAAGTCGTCGCTATTATTGTCCACACTTACCTCGGACGGTTTAGAAGCTTTATAGATATACCTGCAAATAAACAACGATTAAAAAGTATCTAATTCAAAGCAAAATAACTTACTTGTCCATCACTAATCTTTTCGCTTGTTTGTTAAATTCAATTGAAGAAAGGCGCGCAAATGCCAAGTTTTTGACATTTAACATCTTTCTTTCACTCTTTCTCTTGTCATTATTTCCTTTGCTTGCTATGAATACAGGGTTACCATTCATAGATATTTTTAGAGTTACTATAAATAGTAGATAGCACTGGCAGTATGCAATCTTAAGCAAACAAATTTTATTGCTCAATTTGGTTGCAATTTCACTTTTGCCTACCAAAAGCTTCATCCTACCAACCAAACTACCAAAGGATAATGANCTCTTGCATGTGAAAGCAACAACGAAGTTAGCTAGCACGGATAGACGATAGCAAGTTTGGTTATACCTCATTGAGTTCGTTCGTTCGATGACGGCTATTATTTCCTTTGCTTGCTATGAATACAGGGTTACCATTCGTAGATAATTTTAGAGTTACTATAAATAGTAGATAGCACTGGCAGTATGCAATCTTAAGCAAACAAATTTTATTGCTCAATTTGGTTGCAATTTCACTTTTGCCTACCAAAAGCTTCATCCTACCAACCAAACTACCAAAGGATAATGAGCCTACCAATTTTGGTCCAATTGGACCAAAACGGCAACGCTGATTGGTAGTAATGCCGAATTAATAATAATATAATAGATTGGCGCTTACATATATGTTAGTGTTTGGCCGAGCTTCTCCTCCGACTTGTGGCGTGCGCCTTAATGTTGTCACACAAAGCTACAGTTTTACGCCGACTCCGACTGTATTTTTATGAGAAGTTGTTTTTCATGGCAGAAATACACTCGGAGGTTTGCCATTGCCTGCCGAGGGACGACCGCTGTTAAGAAATATATTTTTTACGATATTGCTTTGACCAGGACTTGAACCCAGGTGCTGATGAGTGAAAGCATGTACTGCTTACCACTACACCACAGCGTTCCGAATTAGCCTTTATCTTAATAGCAATTTATATTATATATTATATATAATGTATTAAATGTATATATATGCTATTGGGAAAATGTAATTACATGTTAGTAGAGATAGTTTACAATATGTTTGTATATATATATTGTAGTAACATTGTATAGACTAGCCTAAGTAATAGATTAATAAATCATGTAAATCAATGTAATAGTGTAGTAGTCTCTTTAGCATATTTTTAGTACACGAACAGTGTAACTAGACCTTAAGGTATAGTTTTAAGACACCATCTTGTGAAAAGAAAAGAATGAAAGAAGCATTCCGATTTTAGCAGCGAACAAGAGAAGGTGTTTTATTTAAAACCCGGCTACCACTCGATTATTCTAAACTTGCGCATTTCATCAGAAGTGGTCAGTGAGCCCTTCCAACGTAAAAGTTTTTGAAATTTAATATGAATCGGGAAACAATTAACGCGGAGAAGTATTCGCTACTTCAATTAAAGGCATGGTGCGCGGCAGTTGGCCTCAACGCTAGTGGAGCAAAAGCGTCGCTGGCTGCACGACTTAGCGAGCTGTCGGCAGAAGCAAGGGGCTTGTGTCCAGGAGCCGTTGACGTGCCTGGAGGTGATAGTGTGCCAGAAAAACGCGGCGCCAAAGCAACGGTGCCACCAAATGTTGATGGAGGCGATGGTACAGCCAAAGAAAAAAATAACGGCGATGGACCAACCAACGGCAACGACGCGAATAACGGCGGGGGAACAACCAGTGACAAAGGTGCGAATAACGGCGATGGTGAGCGTGGCAACGATGGAGCGAATAACGACGATGATGGCGATTTTACGAATGATAGCAACGGGGCGAATAACGATGGTGTGAATAATAACAATTGTGCGTATAACAACGATGGTGCGTATGACAACGATGGTGCGTACAACAACGATGGTGCGTATGGTAACGATGGTGCGAATAGAGGCAGCGGCGAAGAGCGGCGCGAATTTTCACAAGAAATTGTGAGCGTGACAAACGAGCTAGGGTGCGGCCCAGGTAACACGCGCGAATTCGATGGCACGAGAATAAGTCTACTAGAAAAAGAGATAGAGTTGCTTAAACTGAAATTAGAGCTACAGCAGGGCGGAGCGAAATTGAGGGTCGCAGCAGACAACGCTAAGCCTGGGTTGGAGACTATGAAAGAGCTAATGCCCGACTATGATGGAAGCGAGGATTTTGAGATGTGGCGGTCTCAGTTGCTTCATTTTCAGCGAGTCTTGCAAGTCAGCGACGAAGCGTTAAGTTTAGTCGTACGACTCAAAATGAAAGGCGAAGCCCTAATGTGGTACAACTCTAACAAGATGTTCATGCGCACTGTTGGCGAAATCCTCGCAGATATGGAGGTCGTATTCGGAAAGAAGGATAACATACTGAATGCACGTAGAAAGTTCGAAAGGCGAATTTGGAAGTTTGGCGAGCAGTTCGGTAGCTACGCTAACGAGAAACGGCTGTTGAGCGCTGGGCTCAACCTATGCGAGGAAGAATTTGTTGAATACCTCGTAGACGGCATTCCTAATAAACAATTGCAGATACAAGCCAAGCTTCAGAATTTTAAAAGTGCTGGTGAGGTGACCAGAGCATTCCGGACTGTCGAGTTGCCGCGACGAGTCGCACCAAAAACAAATATACAAAGTGGTCAAGAGCGGCTAAGGTGCTACAACTGCAATTGCTCCGGCCACGTCGCAAAAGAGTGAAGCAAGCCTAAGCGCGAATACGGGACGTGCTTTGCATGCGGCGAACACGGACATTTTGCGGCGAGTTGCAAAAACTACAAGAAGTCGACGTCCAGTAGCAATTTTGTAAGTCATTTTAGTATTAGTATCGTAGATAATCTTAATGTTGATATGGTTATAGATTCGGGGAGCCCAATAAGTCTTGTAAAGAAGAGCCTTGTACCGGGAAGAGTGAAGCTACAAGATGAAAGAAATTCATACTATGGTCTCAATAAGTCAAAACTATTAATTTTTGGGAAAATATTTTGTTACGTCAAAGTGCTCAATAAAAGTGTGTTGATTGAACTTAGAGTAGTTCCAGACGAATTGATTAGTTATTCAGTTATTTTAGGCAGAAATTTTATTCAGGCGAGCGAAGCCAAGCTTAAAATCGGTGATGTAGAATTTATGGATGAAGCTGCAGATATAGAATTTGTAAACGGTGTAACGAAACTCGATGTTTGTAACAAAGAAAAGGTGGCCAGTAAAAATTCAACGTACAAAGGAGCGGTTGTGCCAAAGGTTAGTGACGCAGATAAAGAAGAAGTGGTTAGTGGTAGTTCTACGTGCAAAATAGTTAACGAAGCCATAAACGAAATATTAGCAATAGAAATTCCTGAAATGAGCGAAACTGAGTATATTTTCAAGAGTTGTTCCGAGAAGGATATTTGTGTGCAAAAGTACCAAAAGAGCCTAGGGTCAGATAGGAAATAAGTCTAGTTTTGGAAAACAAAAAAGTTATCAGTTGCGCTCCACGAAGACTTTCGTATACCGAAAAGGCAGAGCTACAAAAGGTATTAGATGACTACTTAGTAAAAGGGTATATTCGCCCTAGTAATTCAGAATTCGTTTCACCCATAGTTTTGGTAAAAAAGAAAACGGGCGAACTGCGAATGTGCGTCGATTACAGGAAACTTAATAAAGTCACGGCAAAGGATAACTACCCTATACCACTGATTGATGACTTGTTGGATCGGTTAGTAAACAAAAAGTTTTTCTCGAAGTTAGACCTGAAAAATGGATTTTTTCATGTGTTTGTTGAAGAAGAGTCAGTAAAATACACCTCGTTTACAACGCCACTAGGGAAATTTGAGTTCTTAAGAATGCCCTTTGGGCTAAGAAACGCTCCCGCCACTTTTCAAAAGTTTATAAATAGGATATTCTCGGAAATTATACGCAGCGGAGAAGTAATTGTGTATCTAGACGATATTATGATCGCGACAGAAACTGTAGATGAACATATTCCCATTTTGAGAAAAGTTTTTCGGTGTCTGGTTGAGAATAAACTAGAGTTGCGATTAGATAAGTGCGAGTTTTTCTCGGCAGAAATTTCATATTTAGGTTACGCGATCACGGGCGAAGGGATACGGGCTGACAAAAAAGGTTTGAAGGCAGTCGAAAATTTTACAGTACCAACCAAAGTGCATGAAGTGCAAAGTTTCTTAGGACTCTGCTCCTACTTTCGCAGGTTCATTAAAGATTTTTCGACCATAGCCAAACCCCTTTACGACCTCTTGAAAAAAGAAGAAAAATTTCGATTCGGTCAGCTAGAGATGGAAACGTTCGATACACTTAAAGCCAAGTTAATAGCCTCCCCAGTGTTAGCAATATACGACCCTTGTGATACCACAGAACTCCACTGCGATGCGAGTTCACTAGGCTTCGGGGCGATACTGCTTCAGAAGAAAAAGGATAATAAGCTACATCCAGTTTTCTATTTCTAGAAACGTACAACGGATGTAGAGTCTAAGTATCACAGCTTCGAGCTAGAAACACTGGCGATAGTATACGCGTTGAGGAGATTCGGAGTGTACCTACAAGGCATAAAATTTAAAATTGTTACTGACTGCAATTCTCTGACGCTGACACTAAATAAAAAAGAAATGAACCCAAGAATTGCCAGGTGGGCGCTAGAGTTACAAAATTATGATTACGAACTTCAACATAGAGAGGGTAAAAGGATGCAACATGTGGACGCGTTGAGTAGAGTAAATAACGTCTTGGTGGTTGACACAAACAAGTTTGAAGAAAATTTAATTATATGTCAGAATAGAGATAAACACATAGAAAATATCAAAAAGGACTTAGAGTTTAAAGAGAGCAGCCAGTTCGAAATGAGAAATGGGGTAGTTTATAAAAATAAAGATAAAGATTTACTCTTCTATGTACCAGAGTCCATGGAACAACATGTTCTATATAAATACCACGACGAAATGGGGCACTTAGGAGTACACAAGGTCGTAGAGACTATAGGGAAAAGTTATTGGTTTCCGAAAGTCAGGAAAAAGGCAACCGTTCATATCGAAAACTGCTTGAAGCGTATAGCCTTTTCAAATAAAAGCGGTAAAAAAGAAGGAATGTTACATATGATTCCAAAGGGAAATAAACCATTCGAAATGGTGCACATTGATCATTACGGACCGATCCATAGCAAGGGAACAAAGTACAAGCATGTGTTGGTAGTAATTGATGCATTCACGAAATTCGTTCGTTTGTATCCGGCCAAGGCAACAGCGTCGAATGAAGCTGTTTTAGCCCTAAGAGATTATTTGCGAGCGTATAGCAGACCGAGGTCTATAGTATCAGATCGAGGAACTTGTTTTACGTCGAGAGAGTTCGAAAATTTCTTAGAAGATAATAACGTAGAACACATAAAAGTAGCAACAAGCTCACCTCAAGCAAATGGTCAGGCTGAAATTGTCAATAAAAGTTTAGGTCCAATGATAGCTAAGATGTTAGATGCTAAAAAAGAGGTGGGTTGGGAAAGTGTCTTGGAGTCAGTAGAACATGCTATGAATAATACGGTTCATAAAGCAACCAAAGAGCAACCCAGTGTATTTCTATTCGGGGTCCGACAGAAAGGAAAGGTCATAAATAGTGTGAGTGAAAANTTGGGAAAGTGTCTTGGAGTCAGTAGAACATGCTATGAATAATACGGTTCATAAAGCAACCAAAGAGCAACCCAGTGTATTGCTATTCGGGGTCCGACAGAAAGGAAAGGTCATAAATAGTGTGAGTGAAAATGTGTTAGAATTGTTACAAACTCCGAACCACAAAAATATAGAAGATCTTAGAAAACAAGCAGAAGCTGAATAACGTAAAGCACAAACTTATAATAAAGGGTACTCAGATGTTAAACGCAGAAAACCGTGCAACTTTAAGTTAGGGGATTATGTAGTAATCTCTAATATTAGCTCGCAGACAGGAGCGTCTAGCAAACTAATCCCTAAGTTCAAAGGGCCGTATAAAGTATCTAAAATTCTAGACAACGATCGCTACGTAGCGGAAGATGTAGAGGGTTTCCAGCAAACACAAATACCATACAAAGGTGTCTGGTCAGTCGCAAATCTGAAACCGTGGTACAATTATGAAAATGCGAGTTCCAAAAGATAGGATAGGGTTTTTCGTAGAGGAAATTTTACGTTATAAGCTCACGTATATATGTGCTGAGCAGAATCAGGTGATTCTATTCATCAGGATGGCCGAGCTGTAGTAGCATTGTATAGACTAGCCTAAGTAATAGATTAATAAATCAATGTAATAGTGTAGTAAAGGGATGAAAAATGGAAATTTCAGATTGTACCTAATATCATGAAATAAATGTACCTAAATGAGGCAGATTGTACCTAAAAAAAGTTACATCATTCATTTGTAGTTTTTTTTTTATCAATTTTATTTAAAACATGAATACAAAGGATGATGTACTTTAAACATGATTTGGTTTTTTTTTTTTAACTGAGCCTATATCCATAGACTATAGTCTAATGGGAATCGGAGAAGCGTTGTTTTTGTCTAATTTTGACTACTGAAAAATATTGGCGAAAAAGATAAAAAACACACTTTCGAAGTATTCTTCTTTATCCAGCAACAACACGAAAAGTCTGCTAATTTATCCGATTCCTTTTAATAGGTGCAACAAGTCTAGAGAAAATAATCAAATTGCCGTAAGTAACTTCGAACGCATTTTAAATATACTTCCATAAATCAAAAAGCGAATATGGGTCAATAATAATAATTCTACCTAAAATCTACTGACTGTACCTAATGTACCTTTAAGTCATCAAACGTCGGAAAAAGGTACAATTGTACCTAATTTTTCATCCCTGGTGTAGTAGTCTCTTTAGCATATTTTTAGTACACGAACAGTGTAACTAGACCTTAAGGTATAGTTTTAAGACACCATCTTGTGAAAAGAAAAGAATAAAAGAAGCAAGAAGGAGAAGGTGTCTTATTTAAAACCCGGCTACCACTCGATTATTCTAAACAGATTTGCTAAAACTTGGAGCATAGGGATAATATGCAAGTAATTGTTATTTTCAGCTTTTATTTTGTTGCATACCTCTAAATATTTCAGAGACGAACCTTCTTTTTTTTGTAAAGTAGAAAGCCACTGTACGTTGTTTCAGTGTGAGATTATAAATTGAGATCACAGCACGAGTTTGTGTCACTGTATTTAATTATATGAATGTGTGCTTATACGTAAGTTGTGTATTGTACATACAAATGTATTTGTGTGTGTATGTTTGCATACACGAAGCACCTGTGTTTCACTTTGATATTTTGTTTTCAACAATTTTTATTGAGCTTAAGACCGTTTTTTAATGAAAACTTATTGTGGAAAAGCAACACTAATTTGAAAAAATGGTAGAAGTGATAGCTATTTCGGAAATCACCACATTTCCTCATCAGACTTCTTTCAGTAGGATTCCAACCGACGAGCCCACTGACTTGTTAATTATTGTTGCTTATTTCCACTATTTCACCTGTTAAGCCAGCTACAATTAAGCGCAGCTATCCCGCTGCAATTCACTTGATCATGTGGTTGTTGGTTTTTGTTAATATTTCTTTTATTAGAATGTTAAACTTTTAGGTGTGCTCGTCCTTAAGTTATTTGTTTTTGTTATTTTATGGCCTTACTAGCTTATACCCGCGGGTTTCACCCCGCGCTTTTATACAAATAGGAAAAATAATTTAATGATGTTAGATTTTATTTCTGTGCCCATTTCGTTATAGCTCGTTATTTTCTAAGCGAGTTAAGGTATTTAGGCCGTTTAAAACAATGAAATTATAAAATCTCCTCTCTCCTCCCTCTAAGTTTACCTTAAAAGGTTTCCAGGTATACGACGCGTGAACGTGAAACCTTCTTGGAGGTGCCACGGCGAGTTCTAATATTTCCAACTCAAATTTAGTAACCTGGCCTTGATAAAATACCACTTCTCATTACTGTAGCAAATGCCTCAAGAGAGCTTTAGATTATAAGGTCGAACCCGGCTCTCCCTTTTCCATTTAATGAAATTTATTCAGTCAGTACGGCACTTTAAATAAATCTCCATAACAAATTTAAAAGGCTTTGAGAGATTTTCTATCCTTCCAGAGATATGTATTAAGAAGAAGGCGACATGCCTCCTTTTTTAATAACTCACATTTTTTCCATGAGCAATTGATACATTTTGTATACACAACTCCATACCAAGTTCCAGTATTCTTCCACAAACACTTCCAGGGATATGTGGCAAGAGCAAGTAAATTTTTACTGGAAGTGCCACCCCCCCTTTTTCTTATAACCCTAATCTTCTTCCATGAATTTAGAACTGATTTTACATACCCCAGTACCAAGTCCCAGTACTCTACCATGAACACCTCCAGAGCAGTATAAAACAGTAAATTTGTACGGGAGGAACCATGTCCCCTTTTCGAATAACGCAAATTTTTCTCCATGAGTATGGAATTAATTTTGTATATACATCGCGGTGCCAAGTTCCAGTCCTCTGCAATAAACACCTCCAGAGATATGCAGCATAGAATAATCAACAACACCACCTTTTCCAATAACTCTTATTTTTCTTCATGAGTATGGTATTAGTTTCACATACATACATACATATGTATTTCCATACCAAGCTTGAGTGCTTTACCCCAAACATTTGAAGAGATATGCAATATGAAACTTTTAGTCAGTATGGGAGAACGATTAAAAATCAACGATTAAAATGTTAATCGCGTTTGACGATTAAAATTAATTAGTCGTAATCAACTGTACGATTAATGATAAAATTTTTTTAATCGTTAATCGCTGGCTGCGATTACGTTTAATTAATTTAAAACATTAAACGTTAATCCAATTAAAAATAAATCTGATTAATTTGTCTAGTTTGAAACAAAACACCAGTTATAGTAATTATTTTGTGTTTTACGCTTATAAAAAGCACATAATATAAAAAAATATAATTATTGTTATTAGTAATACATAAACTGGGAACTTTTACAAACCTAGTTTGTAAAACGTTTGTTGGTATATATCTTAATGAAAATGCACACCAAATTGCTTAGATTGACGAGGAAACCCGACTTAGCCATACCGGATTAACTTGCTTTGTGTGCACAGGGAAATTCCAGCATAACTTAATTAATCACCAAACCTACTTGATCAAATTAAGAGTTAATGACTAAAAATTAATTTTTTAATCGCGGTTACGATTAACTGTTTAGTCAGATTAAAATTAATCATGATTAACTGTAATCAGATTGAATTTAATCGAATTAACTAACTGATTAAAACATCAATCGATTAATGCCAACATTGATTTCACATACATATCACTATACCAAGTTTCAGTTCTCTCCCACAAATACTTCCAGAGATATGTATGTAATATGAAAATTCCAATTTGTATGGGAGGGGCCTTGAGTTATCGGACTTACTTTCAGTCTAAGACCATCCTTCCGAAATCCGTAGTAAGTGTACTAAATTTCGTTCTGATCGGAAAACCGGTTAGGGAAGTAGCCTATTTTTCAATCCAGGTCATAAACCGCCTTTGAGCAAAATTTTATTGCAATGTCATGCAAATGCGTTCAGTCGTTTCCGCGTATTAATTTAATTAACCACATGATCAAGTGAATTGCAGCGGAATAGCTGCGCCTGATTGTAGTTGGCTTAGCAAAGTGAAATAGTGGAAAATAAGCAACAAGAATTAACAAGNTGAATTGCAGCGGAATAGCTGCGCCTGATTGTAGTTGGCTTAACAAGTGAAATAGTGGAAATAAGCAACAAGAATTATCAAGGCGAACTTAGCACAGTGCGTAGGCAACTGGCTGAGTAAGTGGGATCGTCAGTTCGAATCCTACTGAAAAAGTCTGATGCGGAAATGTGGTGATTTCCGAAATAGCTGTCACTTCTACAATTTTTTCAAATTATTGTTGCTTTTCCACAATAAGTTTTTCATTAAAAAACGGTCCCAACCTCAATAAAAATTGTTGAATATAATTGTTATAAGGCCAAAAAAAATAACAAAAACAAATAGCTTAATATTTTGTTGTGCAAATTAAAAAGGAGATATATGTTATAAAAACGGATGTGAGTAAATTATGCACAAGTGGGTTTTAAATCATACAGGGGCTCGCTTAATTGGGATAGAATTTAGTTTTACTGTCTTTTAATATGGGATGTAAGAATTCCACTCCAGTATGTATTTACTGCGTAGGTATGTGCATATGTACTATAAGCAAATCTTCTTGTATGTACAGTGGTATATGCGAACCGTTTCGGGACTTATTTACTTGAAGAAATGAACTGGTTAAAAACCAATACGGTCCCAGAATTACGGGAATCGAGGAAAAGAAATGTATATTTAATTTGATTTGATTGATGATTCGAATTCTTAAAAAGATTTGCTTCCATATAACGAATAAACACAATTTATTTTTAAAGGGGCTGTCCATATATTACGTAAGGGAGTTTTCACCTGTTTTGAACCCCCTTTCCCTTCACGTAACAAATTGTAAGATT